CCTTTTTGAATGTCTACTACTGTCATAGATATCGGATCAACTATTACAGCAATATTAACATCATGTATAGAGGATCTGCATCTCCACTTCATATTCTACAGAAAGTTTAAGCTCAGAAACATGACGATGAAGAAACATCTTCATCGTCTCATATAAACGATCTGACCCACATCTCTGCTGCAGCGATAACACCTACCAGCACTTTCTCTGTCAGGGAGGAGGGAGAGGGGGGGGTCTCTGCTGAGGAAGGCTGTCATGTCTAATCCCACGGCAACGTGTCGCAGCAGAGTTTTGAAGATAAGGCCGCTTTGCTTTGACAGGCAGTGATCTCTAAGCTGTAAACCATCTCCCAGGTCCCCCCCTTTGGAATGGGGGTCGTTTGGCTTCTTTGTTAGCCTGCAATGCCCCATACCTGTCTATGTCTCTGAAAGGGGGGTCGTTAAAGGGAAATGTTGGCCTGGCTGTCCCTTTCAAGACCCATTTGTTTCAATTTTCATTTGTCATTTGGGCTCCTTGTTAGCTTCAGCCAGGCCAACAATCCCCCTTACGAACCCCTTTCAGAGGCATAGACCTGTATCAGGTATTGCAGGCTAAAAAAGCAACCCAAACGACCCCCATTCCTAAGGGGCGGACCCCTTCCTCCGGTTCACCTTGCATGTTTTCTAAGCCATGCAAGGCTTTGTTTGTGGTCCATTCTATTATGCTACGTTCAGATCGCAACCAGCAGAAGCAGCTATTTTACATGCAAAGTCAATGGTTGACGCGCATCAAAGCGCAGCTAAAGGTCCTGCAGCGCGTCTGAGCAGCTGAAGCAGGGACGTGCTTCACCATCAGCAGCTGCTGGAGTTGGAAATGTAAACGTCAGCTGCTGGACGCGCCGCATCAACCAATGAGGGAAGCTGATCTGGGAGCTGGCAGGGAGTCAGACGCAGCACTGATGAAGCAGAGCGCTATGATCACTCCTCTGAAACAGTTTATTAACGCCTAAATTAACTTCAAATGTAGAAACCTGCCGGCAGAATATGTTGGCTTTTATTATCCTGCTGCCTGCAGTTTGGATTACGGATATGAAAACCGCTTTCCAGCCGTA